CTCATGTAACTAATCTGAAGATCTAAGGCATATAACTAAGATAAAATTGGCCAATATGGTACTGCTTTATGTATGTTCAAGATAAAGGATCAGTTTTTATTTTTGCTAAGAATCTGCTGTAACGATGAAATATAAAAAACATCAGAAGCCTCTATCTCCAAATATTTCCAGGAAGAATTCTGAGTTTTTCACCTATCAATTCCAGAAACTGTTCCATTATTTTCATGTTAAAAGGCAATACCTCTTTAAGTATACAATTAAATGTGTTTGAGGTCCTGGTAAATTATTTCTTTCATAGCATTGGTTATATGTAGGATTTCTTCTTAATGCTTGAAATAAGTGACGTGTAGTTGGATAAGGATTGGTGGTTTTCTACTTCCTCCCCCAAAGAGCTGATGTTTTTAGCTGGCTGTTTTTGTTTTTGTTTTTGTTTTTGGTGGGGGGAGTGAGGCTAAGAGTACAAGTCCGTATATAAAATTATTAAGTAGGCCTACACTAAAATATTTCCTTAATGGATGCGGTTGGAGGCCAGGAGAGAGGTTAGGTAGAACAATTTTAGTATAATAATATCTGTGTGATTTTTAAAAATACACAACTCTCCTTCTGTTCCTGGTCCTCCTCCCTGTATGTGCTGGTACCTCTGTAGGGTTCAGAAGCCATTTTAGAACTCAGGAAGCAAAATATGTGAGCTCCACTCGTGCTTTTGCAGGTGCTGTGGTGGCAAGGATAACCTTTGCTCACTGGCCAGCGTTACCAAGCTGTTATTTAATGTCTGTAAGGATTAAAGACAACACAGAAAATTCCAAACCCACATCCTGACACCTGAAGTTCACACAGATGTCAAAACACGTCAGTGGAACCTTAGTGTAGCAAGTGTATGTCCAGTTCTGGGCAGTTTTAATTCTTTTGAGATACTGCTGAAGATCACGTTGGATCTTCTAGACTGCTCGGGATTGAAAAAAACAAGACCCCCTTCTAGCTGTTCTGCAACCCAGCCCTGCAATTCACCGTGATTCAGTCTGAGGGTCTTTCGGGATGAGCTTGCAGCTTTGGTGCTGAAGGTCCAGTAATTTATGGGGGAAAGCCAAAACCATAGGACAACTTTCTGAGTATTCCCCCAAGGGGCTCAGAAGCCAGAGAAGCATCCACTTCATCTCAGATGGACGCCAGGGTCAGAACCTGCTGTCCTCAGCTGTCATGGGGGAGGAGGAAGGAGTGAGTGGTGGCATTAGCGCTGGGAACCGAGTCGAAGCCGCCCGTCGCTCCCGCCGCCTGCTCACCTCTGCAGAGAGCTGGGCACTCACCGGCCCGCCTGCTCCTGCTCCCGAACTGCCCTCCAGCCCCGGTCCTTAGGCACAGGTCTCCGGAACTGGCCAGTGGGGCGGCTGCCGCCTCCTCGGACCGCTGCCTGAGGGCCGAGACTGGAGAGGAGAAGAGGGGCTGCCAGGGTCGCCCACGGCTCCCAGAGCGCTGAAGCGGCGGCCCAGCCCGCTCCCCTCCCCGCCCCCGCTCCGGCTCCGGCTCCAGCACCCGCCTCCCGCCCGCGCTGCGCCCGCTTGCTCCGCTGGCGGGCAGCGCTCACACACTCACTCGAGGGCGCCGCCAAGGTTACCCGCGGGGTTGGGTGCTGGGGCAGGCTCCGGCCGCCGCCGCTGCCGCCGCTTTCCTATCTCCAGGGCCACCGAGATCCACAACCCCGAAGTAGAAGACGTTCCCGAGTTCGAGGAGCGGAATCAAGCCGGGAGACTGGCCGGCGTCCGGGCAGGGGTCGGCCTTCGCGGCTCCGGGCGCCTGGACAGCAGGGTCAGGCGAGGTCGCGGCCGCAGGCTGGGGCCGTGGCTACGGCGGGCGCGGGGGGCCTCGCTGGCCGGCTGGGGACCGCGCGCGGGGCTGCAGCCTGCCCCCAGGCGTCCGAGCCGTCCGGGCCTGGAGGGGCGCAGAGAGGAGCGGGTGACCAAACCTGTCGAGGAAACTAACTAAATAAAAGAAGACTGTTATTTAAGGCGCGGAAATTTGAAATATTTGGACAGGAAGAGAAGAGAAAAGAAACCTTAGCGAGGGGGGGGGGGGAACGCGAGCTAACGGTTTTGCAGCTCCTCCACCCCCACCCCGGGCTTTGCGCGCCCGGAGGGAGCTCTGGCTCCAGCTACCTCACCAGGGCTCCGGGGGCCGGATTTGGAGTCCGGAGAGTTTCAGAGGGATGTCTTCGCATCCCTCCGTGGGGGCTTGGGTTGTCTGTGGACTTAGCTTTGCACCCATCTCAGGCAGGAAGTTTGTTGCCTGCTCCTCACCAGGTCTCGGCGTGCATCGCTTTCCATGGAACCACCGTCTTAAAAGCAAAACAGTCTCCGGAGCTCAAGACGGGGACTTTCCCTTCTTGATCTTCTGAGAAAGGTTGCTTAGGGCAGTTAGGAAGGCTGTAAGTACGACCCTTTCTCACTACAGCACTGTGAGCTTCCAGCTCTCCTGGACAACTAGTTCTATTTCCCGGTAAAAGCCAAAAGCACCTTTTTGGAGGGGGGAACTGAGATTTCAAAACTAGTCTTGGGCCCCAGATTCTACAACGTTCGTTTGATTAAGACGATAAAGGAAATTTATCATATTGGCAAATGAATTGCTTTCCCAGGATAGAGCATGTTTTGTCAGGTACCCAGCGTGGTGTGTGTGTACACCATTGCGAGGTGCATAATGTTCATCAAAAAACTATTGATTCTCTACCGAAATATGATAAAAGACACTTTGTTCAGTGGTTTGGGGTCTAGAATTTGGACTGCGGTCCTGTGAACGCCCACATCTCGTCCCAAGCGTAAGCCTGGGTTTAGCTTACTGGGCTGGCTGAACCTGTTTCCCGAAGTGGATGCGGATCCAGTGAAGAACTGAATTAGAGAGCGCATCTCTGCTTTTCAGCCTTCGTCCTTTCTACAGCATTGTCTCCTGGGGCTCTGGACATTTTATTAATTAGCACCTACTTCCTCACTCTAAGCATCTGCATAATTTCAGACCTCTTCCCACTTCTGCTCCCAGCAAATTAGAACCCGTTGAACTCTGCAGCACCGTCCATTCCATCCTATACATTTCGGGCACATTCACTTCTTACTGAATACTGTCGAGGTTTTATGAGATTGAATAATGGCTTTTCATATTTCCAAGGGGGGACCACACAACTAATTTCTAAAATACTTAGATTAACAAAGCTACTTCCTGCAAAGAGCCAGAGTAATGTGGGGATGTTTTAATGCCCAACAAATTTTAGGCTGATGAAGAGATAGACCTTCCTCTCCCTCTATTATGCTCCGACCACCCCAGAACAAAGCCATTGCGGTATTTCTCTTGCTTTATGATAGTTCTATGCCTTTATATTTGAAATCTCTAAAGGAAAATTACTCTTCATGAGATAAAGCATATGCTAAGACATGGTGGATATTGTAAAGTCTATTAAACTAGATTTTAAATTCAGAATTGTCCAACTTTATAATTACAACTTGTAAGAAGGGTTATTTTTATTCTTTTCAGTAATGTTTTAATTCTTTTTGGTGTACTTAAAAAATATTCAGCTTAAGGAGTATTTTTATATATCGACTCTTTAAATCTAAAATACACCTTTTCCTTCAAAATCATCTTAGTTTCTTTTTTCTAAAAAAGTGTCCTTATTTCATGTTGCCATCAAAAATAAATTTCTTACTTATGGTTAAAAATGGCAGAAATTGAAGTTATGTTGCACTTAGTTTAGGAAATGTGAATTTTAGTCCAAAAAATGAAAAGGATTAAATATTTCCTCCTATATTCTTGTATATTCTCATGGAAATAAATGATTGAAAATCACTTTGCCTGCAACCGTCCTTGTTCTTGTTAGAGCAAGAAATAGAACCATGCCCTTCAATAAACCTTGATGTATTTTGTTCTTTTTGAAGTGAGGGCAGAAAGCATATGAAGCAGAAGGAGGGGACTCTGAGATAAAACATCTTTGTTCATATAGGAAATAATGAAGAAAGTATTTAAATTTAAAATGGTTAACTGCATTGAAATCCTTTGGTGACAATCTTTAATATGACAGAATAAGTAGTAGACATTGGAAAATCTTCCTGGATATTTGAGATCTTTCTGTTTCCTTCAACATTTAAAAACTTTTTTAGCTAAACAGGTTTCCAAAAAAGATTTAAAACTCCTCTACACCGGGAGGCTGAGGCAGGAGGATAGCTTTGAGTTTGAGGCCAGCCTGGGCTACATAGTGTGTTCAAGGCCAGCCTGAGTGAGACCTTATCTCAAAACAAAAACAAAAACAAATAAAACTCCTCTACAAAAATGTTTTGTGGAAGTCAAGTACCAAATGGGAGAGTGGCTTGATTATTCATTGTTAAAAGACTGTACATTCATTATTCTGTAGACCCTAAAACAGTTATGACCATGATGTGTAATTTGTACATTTTTCTTGCTCTTTTATCACCTAAAAATTGGAATTTGCATTTTATTTTAATACTCAGACATTTTGTAATTTTACATTTCTGACATTCAGGGAGAAAAAGGCAGCATTACACAGTATATTTATGGTACAATTTTGGGAAATATATGACTTAATTGTTTCATTTTGTAATTTAAAAAAATCAACTAATGGGAAGCACTTTAAGGTGAAAAAATTTTTAAAAGTAGCTTCAGAGCTCACATATATTTGTCTTCAGATCACTACTTCTGAAACTTCAACTATCTGACTGAGAAAAATGGAAGACTGAACATTTGGAGAAATTCATACAGAAATTATTTCAGGTTTGATCTTCAAAAAAATGTTACTCTTATTTTGTTTTAAAGCAGAAATATTAGGCAACAAGTAAAATCTGTGGGATGGGATAAGGAGAAAGAAAAGAATAACTGAACCATAAACAGAATATATCTTTCCAAATGGTCTACCTTTACTAAGACTTAAAACATGAACTTTTAGTACAGTTCTTAGCTGTACTAAGTTGTGTATGGGTTATAGAAGAGGGAAAAATCACAGAAAAACATCATCCTGTTCTGAAAGTGTTTTAATTAGGCAAAAGAATCAGTAGCGCAAATCATTCTAAAAACAAAGCTTCCAAGTTGGATATTGAGATCAGCAAAGGAGTAACAGGGTAAACAAAGAAAGTCAAGGGAGGATAAAATATTCAGAAGAAAGCAAAGCTATTCGCAATTACATGTTAGAAATCAGTATTTTTTGCTGGTGAAAAAAAATGTTGCTTAAATATATCCTGTAGTGAGAATTCCACTTACTGAGTTTCAGAAGATTTAACTAGCTGCTTAAAACATGAAAGAAAACTATATTAAGGACCAATATTAAAATAGTTAAGGCAGCCAATCAATTAACTGACAAAGAAGAGGCAATGTGGGAAAGCCCTCCCCATACTCAACGCAGATTTGTGGCTCCCCCGACCCCATTTGCCTCCATCAGGCTAAGGACCTCATTCCTCCCATAGAGCCTGGCCAAGTCAAAGGCAGTGTCCCCCTTATGGTTCTGATGCCCCACATTGCTGGCTGTGTGCTTCAAAAGGAATTCCACCACCTGGAGGTGACCTTCTTTGGCAGCCAAGTGCAAGGGTAGGTTCCCTTCATTATCCTCGATGTTAACATCAGCTTGAAACTCCAGCAAAGTCTGTAAAGTGTCCAGGAAACCTGCTCTGGCTGCATCATGAATGACAGCAAAACCAGTTCGGTCTTTCAAATTGGGATTAGCACCTCTAAGTAGTAGTCTCCTGGCAATCTCAGGATTTCCAAGTTTCATAACCTAGAAAAGAAGTAAAAACAGTAGACTCCTTCAAGTGCTCATGCTACAGGAATACTTAAAAATGTCTCTCTGTCCTATTTAAAAAGTAACTAGTTTTGATGGTGTGTTTGGGGAAGATTCCTAGTACAAGGTCTGAACAGCTCAGTTGCAACCAAGAACTGGTCAATAAAAGTAGAAGGAAACTTCTAAAAATTGAGCTTCTTTAATAGAATATCTTAAATGGGCCCAGAAGTTGGATAACTTGATCAATAAAATAAAATTTATGCAATTTGTATAAATGTCACTGACAACTCAGTTCTTTATTTCCCATGGAAAGTTGTGTTTCTTTTATAAATTAATACATATAAGAGAAACCGAATTTGTGACTTAAATAAGAGTCTATTTCCTTTTTAATGCTCATAAAATGTGCCAGAGGTATTAAGTCTGGAAAATCAAATGTGAGTAAAATTTGTTTTCTAAATAGCTACTGAAAACAAATGAGGATGGTGAATTTCTTTAAAACCCCAACCAAGTGTCACCTAGTGTAAAACTGCTCTATTAAAAATATAGACTTAATATTTTCTTAAATGATTTTTACAAGTTCCCTCCAAATAGGTATAGCCCCAAGTTTCCAAGTGTTTTTTAAAAAAATACTTTTTTCTTTGTAAGTCCTTCAATGTTGACTACTAGATATATTCACTGCTTAGAATCCTTCATTGTAAATTATTTAATGTTACTGATTATGAAGGCACTAAGTAAACCAGAGTGTTCTACATTGCTTATTATATCAATTTATCTAAAACTGAATTCATGATATGCCTTGTATTAGATAGGAAATGATTATAGAACAAAAATTCTTGCAAAGAATGAAACAGTCATCCTATATTACTGTTCCTCAAAGTTCTAACTAACCTCTTGATTTTTAAATGAGCAAAAGAAAAACATAAAATATTTGATGTGTGTTTTGGGGTACAGACAGCTTTGTTTTAATATTTGAACCCATTTAATATTCAACTGGCAATTCTGTCATTTCCTTTTGCAGTTACTATAAGCATTTAGGAATAGCTATTTGTAAACTGCCAATACTGTAAAAGTCAAAATGTAGTATTAACATTTTTAAATCAACATGCAAAATAGTTAACATCACAAAGACTTATTTACTGTTGTTTAAATGTATTTCACTTTAATAAAAGTATCTGTTAATCTCTCATAATTAAAAATCTTACAGAACAGCACGCAAGTTATGAAATAGATATATAATTTTGTGAAAAATATTATTCTTATGAACATGCCAGAAATGTTCAGCATTTTAACTGATGTATTTATATGTAGGTATATTCACAATAATTAAATTTATAACAAATAGGATGCATAAGAGACACTCAATGTTTATTAAATTATAATCCATTGGAAAATACATACAAAGCTGACTTATCTCTTTAAAATGTTTGTTTAAAAAATTTTGATCACAATCACAAATTAGTAAAATATACTTAGAATGAATAATATTCTAGAAATCCAAAGTATATAGATGGTCAAGATATTAAGTTTCCTCAATGCTAAAACCCTGTGAACTTTTAGCCCTTCTTTTAGGGCAGTGGTAAAAATGACACATAATTTATTTTTTAAGAACTTCAATGAGATACACTTCTGGTTATTATAAATTAAAAAGTTCTAATTTTTGTCACCATTCTTTCTAATGACTTGGTCACATTTAAGGACTTAGAATAAGAAAAACAAAAGACTGATACATTGGCTCTTTGCAAGCAAATGTAGGATTAAGGCCTTTGATATTATCCTGCTTGAAAAATTTACACTAGAAAGCAAAAGTTTTTGCAACTGTGTTAAGTAAACATAATTACAGAAGAAAATCTGCCATTTTTTCAGAAAATAATAGTAATATTAGAAATGGTTTTGAAAAAAGTTCTTTCTTATTACACAACTTCAGAGTCAGGAGTATGGATACTGAAAAATAAGCCTTCAGACTCCTGTTTGTGTTTCATTGTATGTACTAAGACTAAGCCACAGTGAATGCTATTATCTTGATAAGTATGTTTAATATAAACAAGAGGGCAGAGTTCTATTAAAATGTTTGTCAAACCTTTTTAAAAAACAGCATTAACTGTCCAATCTTCCTGTTCATCAGAAGTCCTGTAAGATCTTATTCTCAATATAGGTGAGTGGCTCATGCTTTGTGAGTCTGATACAATCTTTTTTGGCTTTTCAATAGGAAACTTTTCAATATATTAAATTTGTGGCATTAATATAATCACCAAACCTGTTCAAAAGTTCTAGGTGGAAAAAGAAAAAGAAATCCTTTCTCTACTTATTTTACATAAAACGACAATATAAATAATTTAGCATCTATGCGTAGCTTCCTTAATACTGAAATTTGTGTAAGGCCAGTGCATTCTGATTTAATATGTACAGATATATGAACTTTGTCATCTCTCTGGTCATTTAAACTTCTAATTCTTTTAACCAAGCCCCTTAAACCAAGCTTTTCAAAAGCCTTCTCTCCAGCTTTCATAAACAGCTTCTGAGTAAGAATAGCTCATAAGAATATCATCAGAACTCTGATAATGCAACTATTTTAGATTACTTTTCCATTTTTCTGTTTCTAAGCCTTTCAACTAAGTTACATGATAACGTCTGGAGGAGAAAAAAATTTATCAGGTACATACTTGGCAGCTGGACATGTGTCAGTTGTTGCCTGTAAATCTAATTACTGAAAATTAAAGCATACCACCGCATGACCAAACGGACAAAAACACTACAGCTCAGCTCTGATTATAAAATTCAAGTTTTTATTTTTCACTTCTGAATGGGTAAATGGTATTATATTAACTGTGAAATGCACATCCTGTCCCCATGCCCAGGCCATCCATTCCAAATGAGGAAAGGTAGTTTGTCAAAACGTGAAGAATTTGGGGGGGGGGGAAGAAACTTGTTAGTAGTCAAGAAAATTAACGTTGAAGTAAAATATTAGGGGCAAAGTACGTGAAACCACTAATGGCAGTGTATTTACTTCAAATAATAATCATAATAATGTATTTACAGAACCGTCTAAAACAAAACAAAACAAACAAACAAACCTCGGCACTGCTGTGATTACTTAGAAATCCACACCGTCACAAAAACATTCCAAAAATTAAGACCAAACCTAGAATCCTCTTGATATCGAGGATGTTACTGGATTCGACGAGTTTGTTCAAAGTACGTCATTTTGGGGAGTTGGATCCACTTAAAGATATAAAATATGGCAACCAAGTAGGTTAAAAACAGTGAAAATCTGTATTCCTGAAATCTAAAAAGCTGTCATTTTAGAAACCCGGTCAGGTAGGCAACAATATTAACCTTTTTTCCCACCTCTCTGGATACTAACCTGCAGCGCAGTTCTTCCAAATCCATTTTGTGCATTGACGTTTACATTATTTTGCAACAAACTAGTAAGTTGCTCTAGGTCCCCCCTGGCAGCTGCGGACGCCAACTCGTTCCCCCACGGCTCGGCCATTCTTCAGGGTCCTGACGATCGGGAAAAGATGAATTAGTTGTTTTTCTTTCTCCCTCTTCCTCTGCTTCTAACTAGGCTGCATGATGGCATCGGAGACTGACAGAAGGACTGGGATGGTTAATCTGGAGTAGAGCTTGGTAGTAAATACTAGTAAGATCTGCCTGCCAAAAGCCCGCCCCTCGATTCACACGTGATTATTCAGCAAAACTGAGCCATTGGAGAGGGGCTCTTTTCTTCGCTTTTTACCATAACCCCTATGAAGAATTCTGGTGATCCAACAGACAGACACACAGACATTCCTGGTTAATTACCCTGGGGGTGAGATGCCGGCAGAGCTGTCACGTACCTAAGCTACAGACCTCTGCGAGGAATGCGTGTGGAGACTTAAGGGACTAGGTCAAGGCAGAAATACCGCGGAAGAAAAGGCATGGGGGGGGGCATTAACCCACCCTCGATCGCGGTGGTGAGTTGGGCCAGAACTTCGGGGGCAGGTTCTCAGAGGGGCTCGGTTTCCATTCGTCTCGCTGAAGGGATAGTCCCGAGCCCTGTGCTGCAGTGGCTGTATGCTGACGTGCTCCGGGGGTTAAAGACGATTGCCAAAGGCAGATGGGAATAGCAGTTCCTTGGCCCTTAAATTACAGGTCCTGGCGACTCGCCAGCGCTGTCGGCTTCACCAGAGCAGCTGCGGTCTCGTCCGGGCCGAGCCGCGGGCTAGCGCCGCGCTGCAAGGCTCGGGAGCCCGCCCGCCCGGCTGCCGCAGCCCCGCCGAGCCTGCGCGGCCGTGGGAGCCGGGCTCGGCGCCCGTCTCCAGAGGCTGCGGGGCGCGCGGCAGGGCCCTGGCAAGCCCGGCATGTCGGCCCCACCGGGTCCCCGGACCCCGGCAGCCCGAGGACGCGCGCGAGCGACGCGGGCGGCGTCTAGGGGGCCCGGGCTGCTGAGGCAGCTCGCGGCAACATCGCGGCTGCAGCGGGCAGCTCGCCGGTTACTTCCCGCCTACGACTGGGCTCGCTCAGGCTTTCCGCTGGAGGCACTCATTGAGCCGCGCCGCAGCCTCTTCCTTCCTTGCCCGGTTGTCCGGGGGCCTCCGAGGATGGGGAGGGTCCCAGGAGGCGCAGGCCGGCCTCCGCGGATGGGGAGTCGCCGCAGTTCCAGGGCGCAGCTAGCCCGGCCGGCCTCTTGCCGAGCGCCCAGCAGCTTCGGCGCCCCGTGCCACTTCGCCAGGCGTCCGCGGTCTCCCTGTGCCGCCGACAGGGCAGCGGCTGCCAGCCAGCTGTGTCCCGGAGCCGAAGCGGTCGGCTCGCTTCCTCCCCAGCGCAGCGCCGCCGGTGACAGTCTCTTTTGTAGTGAGTCCCCCAAAATCGCTAGTCCCCGCTCCCTTCCCTTACAGGCACTTGAGCGTCGTCTCCCTTTCAGATCTTTTCCTTCCCTCCCTCCCTCTCTCGCTCCTGTTTTCCCGCTGAAACAATTGCTGCTTCTGTTGCCTCTGCAGAGATGGTGCTGGTTTCTTCTCTCTTTTTTTCCGACCTCATCAGCTTTTTTTGAAAAGAAAAAAATTGAGCGCTTTTTGAGTTGAAAAACCCGCCCCCATTTTAACGGCAGAGTTTTAAGGAGGCTCCGAGGAGTTACAGCGCCGCGGGAGCGGGAAGGCCGGGCTCCGCCCCCAGCCCAGGCGGCGCTCGCGCTGAGAGCCCCGCAAGCTCCGCCCCCCGGCCCCGCGCCCGCCCTCCCCCCTCCACGCTCCAGCCTCCCTCGGTCGGTCTCGGGCTCCCGCTTATCAGTCCCGCGGCCGGGCCCAGCCGGAGCCGGGTTTTGGCCCCGCGAAGCAGGGTCTGCCTTCTTCCCGGGGGGTGGGGAGGAGGACTGGAGTCTGAGACGGGAAACCCCGGGCCGTCCGGAGCCCAGCGGGGACGGGGGAGGGGTAAGGGCGCTTGTTAATTGAGTCAGCTGGGCAGAGCTGAGAGCTGAAGGCGAGCTGGCGCGTAGCTAGCCTCTGTCCGACCGCTGTGGGGCAGGTCTGCCCGCCTCCGCGCGCTGCAGCCAGGCTAGCTAAATTCGAGCAGCCGGGCCTGCCGCGGCCGCCTCTGCCTCCGGGCGCGCGCACGGTGAACTCGGCCTCGCACCTGCCAGACCATCGCGGAGGGCTGCGGAGGTGGCCGTGGTTTGGGCGAAAGTGCTGCGGTAGAGCCACGTAGACTCCAGTTTTATGAAAACGTAGAACGTGTCATAAGAAATCATAATGTACCCTGAAATGTTAAAAGTTCCAGGGGCTAAAAAATGTGAAATATTCCTATTGGAGAAATGGGAGAAAAGCAGTTTTAAACAAAACATAAAAGAAGTCTTGGGAAGTGTTTTCTAGAAGCTATATGTTTGTTGTTGAAGTCCTCTCACAATTTAGATGGGCTTGGTTTTGGAGGGTGGATGTGGGGAGGGTGATCTCAGCATAAAGCCTCTGTCCTCAATCATTGATTTCAATAGTTGGACACCAATTCTCTGAACTTTTAAATTCTTTTAGCTATGTGGAATTAACTAATTGTTGCTTTTTCTGTATTTTTATGCTCTTAAAAATATGAAGCATGGTTACAGTGGTCAAAATGAAACCAAGCCCCCTCCCCAAAAAAGATAAGTGGCCTAATTAGAACCAGCTTCTGGCTCGTATATCCTCAAGCTACATCTGTACCTAGCTTCTTGAAGAAAACTGGAACTATTAACAAAACACCAGAAACATCTGGATTGCCAGCTAGCAACAGACTGGCCCTCAGGTAGAGACAGCAGAAGCTGGGAAGAATCTGGCCATGTTTTCTTTAACTGAATTGTTTGTTTGTTTTTCTTCTCTAACTGAACTGTTAAGAAAAAAACCCCAGCTCTTTTCTGAGGTAACTAAAGCTGAGTTGTGAAGCAAGTGGGAACCACAGCACAGGAATTAACTCCTCTTTTTTTAAAGCATATATTTAGACATTTCAAATAGAACATTTAGGATTCCATTTATTCCAATAATAAATAATAATTTACTTTTGATTATTCTGGAAACTAATTTTTTTAGTACAGCTGGAAAGTGTGATCATATAGTAGCACTGTTGGATGAATAAGTGATAATGGACAGTCCAATTTATAAAAATTGCTTTCTAGCACTTACTATGGTTTCTTGATTACAGAAAATACTGAAATGAGAAAAAATGAAATTGTACTTTTTAGGTAAGGAATAGATATACATGTGCACATCTAATCAGGAGGATTGTTTCGAGTTCAAGGCCAGCCTATGCTACATAGTGAGTTCAAGGCCATCCTGGATACATAGTGAGACTCTGTCTCCACTCCCGCCCCCCCATAGATATGCATGTGTTAGAATTTTCATGAAATAAACTACTTTTTGCTGAATAACTAAGTACAATTCATAGTAATTTAGTATTATAGTATTGTACAGTTATAGAACTGAAGAGTTTTAAAGGTCTTAAGCACTGAAACAATTTTGATGTATTACTACCCTGCCTCATATGAATATGAAAAATACAAAACCCAAAAATAAAAGTAAAAAAGCCCAACAAAGTTCTGTGTTTTTTTCCATGATGACTATTTCAGTTGGTTTTGCTGAAATATTAAAATCTTTGGGGAAGTTTTGGGTTTTTTTAAAATTCTGGTTTTGCTGGTGCCCTAAAGGGCATGATTATTCTGTCTGTTGTGCTATTGTGTAAACAAGAAGTGGCAGCACAGAGGCTATAATCTTGCTCAGAGTGTAACTGAGCATTACCAAGCACCACCAATGACCATATCATATTTATTGTAACTCACTGAAGTAGATTTAAGAGTTGTTTGCTCTCAATAAGGTTATATTCTAACATGGTGTACAGGAAAGGTTCACAGTTAAATACAATACTCTATTGCATTGATAGTAGTGATTTCTCTTTTAACATCACAGTGATATGTCCCTGAAGTATTGAAAGAAATACTTTAAGTTGGATATTGAGTACTAATAGTCAGGGAACCTTTGTCTTCGTCAGTTCATAGTCATTTTAAAGGACTTGCAGAATATGGTTTAGTCAAATTATTTTGTGTTTTTCTCCCATTGACTCTATGTGCACAGTTGCTAAATGACTAACTTTGGGAAATGTGTATGAGGTAATTACAATTTATTAACCAGGTCCCAAACTCTTTCTCATATTTATAGATAAAGGTGGGAAAGAGACCCTCAGAGGGCCTTTTTATTCTACTTGTGTCTTTGGCATTTTATTTCTGAGATTTAGTAGGATTTTTCATATGGCTGCTCACACCACTATGAAAGTCCTTTCGTAAAGTAAGAAAAAAATGCCCAATAGTAACTCAAAAGCTTAAACATAATAGCAACAATTAATATTTATATCTTGTTACATGGTTATAGAATGATACATACATTATTTAATCTTTACAACTCTGTGAGGTAAATGTGATAACCATATTTTTCAAATGAAGGAATTAAGGCTGGTAGAGACTGAGATTTAAAGTCAGCAGGTACTGGACAAACTTAGATCTTAAATCCTCAAATCTTATCCCCTTTTTTTTGGTACCGGGGATCAAACTCAGGTCCTTCTGCTTGTAAGGCAGGAGGTGGAACCACTGAGCTAAATCCCCGGCCCTCTTATCCCCTTTCTATTGTTTAATAAGAGCCCAGGATCAGCCACTGACTCTTAACCATTAAATCATTAGATGAAATAATGATCACTTAAGTTTGGATCTAGCTCAGTAGTAGCGTTAGTGTTCTCATGAATTTTATTATAGGCAAGAAGTATTGCTTTTAAAAACATTGATTATCTCAATCAAAGGATCAAAGTTAATACCATCAGTAATAAATCATGTTGATAACATGTGGCCCTGATATGATGATGACACATCACGTAGTATTCTTCCTCAAAATCCATAAAGTCAGTATAATTCCCAAGAAATACTAGGCAAACCCAAGTTGAGGGACATTCTGAAGACTTCCTGACTTTTCAAAGGTGTCAATACTGAGAAAACAGCCAGGTGTGGTGGTGTATGCCTATAATACCAGCACTTGGGAGGGTGAGGCAGGAGGATTGCCATGGGTTCGAGGCCAGCCTGGGCTACGTAGTGAGTTCAAGGACAGCCTGAACTACACAGTGAGACCCTGCCTCAAAACAAAAAACAAAACAAAACAATAAACATAGAAACTCACAAATTGGAAGACACGTCAGAGACTTACTAAATGTAACATGGTGTTCTAGATTGGCTCTTGGAACAGGTGAAGATATAAGAATAGAAGTAAAGTCTCTAGAATTTAATATTACTGTATTGTAGCAATGTTAATTTGTTAGTTTTCATAGATGTACCATGGTTTTGTAAGATGGTAACATTAGAGGAAGATGGGTAAAATGTTTATAGTAATATTTTATACTATATTGGAACTGTTCTATAAATTCAAAATGATTTTCTATAAAAATTGAGTGACATAATTACAAATAAGTCTCATATATATATATTTTTTGTTGTTGTTGTTGTTGTTACTGGGGATTGAACTCTGGACCTTGCACTTGCAAGGCAGGAGGTGGAACCACTGAGCTAAATCCCTGGCCCATTCTCATTTATATTTTTATCTATATCTATACCTATATCTATATTTTTTTGTACCAGATATCGAACTTGGGACCTTGCACTTGTGAGGCAGGCAGTGGAACCACTGAGCTAAATCCCCGGCCCTCTCATTTATATTTGAAAGAAAGACGAAATAAAAATCTCCTTTAAAAGGCTAAGAACATGGAGATTCCATAAGA